CTGCTAGGGAATTCTTGATCCTGCTATTGCTTCCGACCGGAACGCGTATATTTCCGTATATTTTCTCAATTCCGAACGGATCCGAAGGGGTGGGGGTTCTGTCCACGCAAGTTTTAAAACGCCGTACGCTGTAAAGGCCAATGTCCACGATGCTAGAATTTGGTCCAAATTCTAGTTTCGAGAAACGTGTAGCCAATCAACTTGCAGCTTTTATGGAATAGCTGCACGTTGATTGGCTACAGATTTCTCGAAACTAGAACTTGGATCAAGTTCTAGCATCGTGGACATTGGGCTTAATTATGACTGTATTATGTATTTGAACTCCCGGGAAAAAATGGAAAAGATCTGAACAGACCTGATCACATCAAATCAGATCAAATTCGTTTATATCTGATTTGATCAAAATATTGGCCCTATCTGATCAGATTTAATCAGACATGAGTAGATCTGATCCGGTCCTAGCGGACGAGGTCAGATAGGATAAGAATAATCTATATCTGACCAGATCCACTCAGACTTGAGTAGATCTAAACTGATCCTGGCGGACGAGGTCAGATATGACAAGAATAATCTATATTTGCTCGGATCCAATCAGACATGAGTAGTCTGGAAGTCGATCATGAATTTTTTCACACGTAAAGAGTGAAAAATTTCTGCATTGCCTACTTTTTCTAGCGAAGGACATAGAAGAAGAAGGCAATGGAGAAATTTGTCGCTTTTCACGTGTGTAAAAAAATTCATAATCGACCCCCTGATCTGATCCTAGCGGACATATGGCCACCCTTACGAAAAATACACTACAATTATATGGTTTTTTCGAGTGTATAAATTTAACATTATACAGGGTGTCGGATTCGATTTGGACGACTCCAAATATTATAGTAGATTGGGTCAAGCTGAGAAGAAAAGTTATATACCATTTTACAAAATCCGTAATTATTATCGCGTAATTAAGAAACACGTCTGAGCCAATAAGTGCACGGAGGAGCTGAAGGCCGGACTCGGCAGACATGCAAAATGGTGTTGTTACATCTTTCACTGGTAACTTGGTATAATATATATATTTAATAAGTGTAATACAAGAACGTGAGTTGCGATAATCTATCCGGAAGACAAGAAATGCTTCTGTTGGATCGTACGGTCGTGGATCGACTCTCCCACTCGCTCCCACCGATCTTCCGAGACCCGCGTTGTCGCAATCCCTCTCTCGGCGGAATTCGGTTATAGCTTAGTCGCGCCCGCGAATACTCATGCGACGGCGCGCTCTATATAAATCACCGATCATACACAACATCTCTTCTCCCCGTAAATCTTAATTACAATGCTATTTCGCCATTACATTTCCAACGTTAGTATGAAAAGCAATCACCGAAACGATCCGGTGGTTTACGCTTACGCTCCGACCGTTTTCGGTTTGGTATTGACGCTGGCGGTACTTCAGGGTGAACCGCTTCATCTGGCGCCTCTTCCTCGAATTCGGATATCGTTCCTTGGACATCTCGTTTTTCCGAAGGTTCCGAGGATAATGTCAGTGGTCTTTCTCTTTCTAATAACGCGGGTGGTGATTCGCACATCTCGTTTCTTTCTACATTCGGATTTACGATAGGGCCACACCAATCCCACGTTCGCTTGGGGGGTTACCAACAATCGTCGGACCTACTGCCCGCATCTGGTTTAAGTGACGTTTCCAAACTTGCTTATTTGGTAGTTGAACTCGGTAATGTAATCTACCCAGCTTCTCAATAATTGTTCCAAAACGCCACTTAATATTTTTATCTAAATACTCCCGTACTGCGACTCTCTCTCCTACCTCGAATTGTTTAATTTTTCTTAAGGATGTCGCGGTTTTGTCGTTTTCATTTCTCTGCTCTGTTCGCGGGAAGATCAAATTTAATCGACTATTTAAATTTCTACCAAACATTAATTCCGCTGGCGATTTTTTACATTCTTGAAGTGGTAACAATCTATAGTGAAATAACAATTTTTGTACGTTTCGCTTAATGTCTTTATCTGTTATTTTTAATTTTCGCAGGCCTTGTTTTAATGTTTGGACAAAACGCTCTGCTAATCCATTTGTAGCCGGGTTGTATGGTGCTCTGCATTTATGAAAAATACCATTCTGTTTGAGAAAATATTGAAATTCCTTAGATATAAAGGTTCTACCATTATCTGATACTAATACCTGTGGTAATCCAAATGTTGTAAAAATGTCTCTACATTTTTCTATTGTTTTTTCCGAGGTTATATTTTTCATAATGTGCACTTCGGGCCACCGTGTATATGCATCGACCATAACTAAAAAATTATATCCCATAAATGATCCCGCAAAATCTATGTGTACTCGTTGAAATGGTTCTGTCGCCGGTTCCCAACGATGTTTAACTTTAGCGGTTCCAGGGTTATTACTAAACGCCGCCCACACCACCGCCCTAACAGGCGGGGGAGGGGCTGCCCGCAAGTCGCGGGTAAGAGCCCTCCCCGCTTAGTGGGCGGAATACCGCCGCGGCGGTAAGGAGATGGCCCTCCCCAAAGTCACCGGGGGAGGCGGCCTGGGCCTGGCGGGCTGGGATTCCCGTCAGGCCCTGCCTCCACGGAGGCGGGCGGTAGAGGTTGTGATCGCCTCCGCCGCCCAGAAGAGTAGTGGACTCCCCTCGCGGGGGGAGTCCCCCCTCCCCCATGCCATCGGGGGAGGGCGCGCGAAGTCAAACGGCGGGCCGGTGCGGGGGGCGTCCGGAAGTAATGGCTCTGCCAATTCCTGGGCGTCCCCCAAGTTACAGCACCGCGCAGATCACTGTGTGGTTTTAGTGAGGTAAGCCCAGCGGTCGCAATGCTAGCGGCCACACCCGATCGCCACTAGGGGGGCAGTCCCACATAACTCGAGCCACTTTGTAAACTCCCTTCCCAGAGGGGGGCCCGGGTATCCATAAAGGATTTTCACACGTAAAAAAAAGGGGTTATTACCAAAAGTGTTACACGCTTTACAATTTTTAACTAACATTTCAATTTCCTTGTCCATTCCTAGCCACCAACAGAAATTTCTACTTAGATTTTTCATTTTTACACAACCAAAATGTCCCTCGTGTAATTCCTCTAAAATACGTTTTCTTAAAGATTTAGGAATTGCCACTCTATCTCTTCTAAAAATTTATACCGTTTTGCAAGGAAAATTCATTATCTTGATAGCCTAAAGGTACAAGACTTTCCCCTTGTTCTAGTGCTTTCGCTATTTTTAATAGTGCTTCATCTTTCCTAATTTCATTACAAATTTCTTTTGCTGTAACTGGTAGCGTTTCTAAGTTTTCCATTTGGAATATATCTATCGGATCATATTCCCCTTTACGCTTTTCTGCCACTGGTAATCGCGAAAACCCGTCTGCGTTACCGTGCTCGGTTGATTTCTTATATTTAATAGTAAAATTGAAGGCTTGTAAAAATACAGCATAGTGCTGCATTCGCATTGCACCATATGCTGGCAAACCTTTCTTGGGATTAAGAATCTGCGCTAGTGGTTTATGATCCGTTACTAAAGTAAAATGATTTCCATATAAAAACTGGTGAAATTTCTTTATGCCAAACATGATCGCATACGTTTCCTTATCTATTTGCGCGTATTTTTTTTGTGTATCGGTAAGCGAGTTTGAAGCACATTGAATGATTCTCTCGCTTCCGTCTGGGTATACGTGTGACAGAACCGCACCCACTCCGTACGAGCTAGCGTCGGTAGCTAACACGATTGGCAACTGCGGATCGAAAGGAACTAATATTTTATTTTTCTCAAATTCCGCTTTAGCTCTTTCGAAAGCTAATTTACAGTCTTTTGTCCATTTAAATGAAATATTCTTTTTAAGCAAATTATTCAAAGGACGTAAAAGATCACTTAAATGTTCAATGAATCGACCGTAATAATTTATCAATCCGATAAATGCTCTTACTTCCGTAATATTATTAGGCCTAGGCATTTTTCTTACTGCTTCAATTTTCTGTTTCTCTTTTGAAATTCCACTTTTACCTATTACATATCCACAATAACTAATACTGTCTTTTACAAATTCACATTTTTCCTTATTAATGCGTACATTGTGTTTTGATAATTGTTCAAAAACTAATTCTAAACGTTTTACATGCTCCTTTAAATTTTTTCCCGTAATTCTTATATCGTCCAGGAATACCGCTACTCCTGGAATTCCATTTAAAATATTTTCTATCGTTCGTTGCCATATCGCTGGTGCCGAAGCTATCTCGTACATTAAACGGTTACTTCTATACAGTCCTTTATGCGTATTTAAGGTTAAAATTTCTCTATTTGTTCTGTTACCGGCAATTGCAGATACGCCTGCTTTAAATCAATTTTAGAGAATATTTTTCCTCCTGTCATTGACGCAAAAAGTTCATCGATCGTGGGTAAGGGGTGTTCATCCACCACTAACAACGGATTAACTGTGACGCTGAAATCGCCACAAATTCTAATTTGTCCGTTCTTTTTTAATACCGGTACTATTGGCGTAGCCCATCTTGAAGACTCTACCTTCTCTAAGATTCCCGCTTGAACCATATTTTCTAATTCTGCTTCAACTTTTTCTTTTAATTTAAATGGAACTACCCGATTTTTTAAGAATACCGGTTTCGCGTTTTCTTTTAATTTTAACCGTGCTTCGATTTTACTCATGGATGGAAACTCCTCACTCAGTACATCAGGATATTTCTTAAATAATAATTCTAATTTAACTTGACCTTCTATTTCCAGCGATTTTATGTTTTCAATTTCTCTCAAACTCGACTTTACTTTTCCTAATATTCCTAACTGGTTTATCCACTCACGACCCAATAAAGGACTTCTATCATAACAGACTACATACATATTCAACTCGCGTATACAATCAATGTCGCGTACTTTAACTTTTACAAAACCTAACGGCGCAAAATTTTGTTTACAGTACGATCGCAACCTTAGCTCTGTCTTTTGTATGGCCAATCGCGGAAATATCTTCCTAAGCCATTTTTCACTCACCAGAGTGACCGCAGCTCCGCAATCTACCTCGAAGGTTACTCGCCGATTTTCCAGAAAGAGAGACCATGAACTTATCCCGGAAATACGAATGTTCCATTTCATCCAATCGATAAACCTCTTCCAATAACTGAGCTTTGCATTTCTTCTTGCAGACTTTCTGCAAATGGCCAAAACCACCACATTCATGACACTTCACGTGTCGAGGAAGAGTGCAATCCGGCGCCAGATGATTCTGTCCACACCTAAAACAAGAAACATTATTATATTTTGAATTTTTCGACGCCTGTGTTTTGGACTTATTAGTCCCATTAAACGAATTTGTCCTTCTTCCAGGTTTATAGTTCTTCGAATGGCCCTTCACTTTGGTCTCATTGTCTGTTTTCTTCTTCAACGCTTTACCATTTGATCCGACGAAATCCACTGCCGCTGCCGCTTCTGACTTTAATTCGTTTACGCCTTTTTCCGCTAACTCCATCCCGCTAGCCGTCTTCAAGGCTGATTCCATCGTCAGGTTTGCTGTCTCCAAAAGTCGACCTTGGATACGTTGATTCCTCAGTCCAAAAACAAATTGATTCCTGAGCTCCGTCTTCAAATATTCGCCGAACTTGCAATATAAAGACAGCTTTTGCAATGCAGCCATATACTCTTGAGCACTTTCCTCCGGTAATTGTAATCGCTTCCGAAAAACAAAAATTTCCGCTATTTCCAACGGCTCCGGAGCGTAATATTCTTTTAATTTATTAAGTAGGGCATCATAAGGCAAAAGGTATGGGTCTTGTGGATCCAATCGATCGCAAAGAATTCCGAAAGCCTCTACGCCGAGAAAATGTAATAAATAAGCCACCTTCTCTTGCCCTTCTTGAATTTTAAAAAAACGAAAAGCTCCTTCTAAACGCTGCAACCATCTTCGAAACGTTTGTTGCTTAACATCGAAGAAATCTATATTAATTGTATTTCCACTTGCAATTTGTCTCGTTAATTGACCAGTAAGCTGTCCGGAGTTCGAATTTCCTGCATCCCGGTTCGTATTGTCTTCGTCTACTAACGGCATTTTCGTCTTGAGCTGAGCCGCCCTTCTCGAAAGTTCCGTGCCACGTGCTCTCTAATTCCCCGTTACCTCACGCACACACGTGCTCTTCCAGTTTACTTCTCCGGTTTTTGGAATTTTTATCCTCGTCGCCAACTGTTACATCTTTCACTGGTAACTTGGTATAATATATATATTTAATAAGTGTAATACAAGAACGTGAGTTGCGATAATCTATCCGGAAGACAAGAGATGCTTCTGTTGGATCGTACGGTCGTGGATCGACTCTCCCACTCGCTCCCACCGATCTTCCGAGACCCGCGTTGTCGCAATCCCTCTCTCGGCGGAATTCGGTTATAGCTTAGTCGCGCCCGCGAATACTCATGCGACGGCGCGCTCTATATAAATCACCGATCATACACAACAGGTGTATTATTCTCCTACCACCAGAAAAACTTTTTCGGCGCGTTGTCATATGTCGCGCGTTCGCTCGCTGCGCGCCGTTCGCCCGCTCACCGCTCCCCGCTCGCCCCCGTCTCTCATCGATCGATGCGTGACTCCACCTCTCGCTATCGGATCTTGAGAGATGTCAACAAATACGAGAAGCCTTCAATTGCGCACAGTACAATTGGACACGATGCAATTGCACACAGTGCTATTGGACACATAATGTTGCGCACAGTTCTTTTGCGCACAGTTCTTTTGCGCACCGTTCATTTGGACACAGTTCTTTTGCGCACCGTACAATTGGACACCGTTGCTTTTGGACACAGGTTATCGAAATATAATTTAAAACACACA